AAGGAATATCATTCTCGGGTCCAGGACGATGTACACTTCGAAAATTTCGCTGTAGATATATGAGATGCCGAAGTAGATGGTGAAGATCAGCCCTCTGATATCGGCCGGTGTGTGGAAAATTAAAAATACCAACCAGGAGATTTCTGCAATGGACATACCGAGTATGTGAAGAAAGAGTTGAGGGAGGAGGAGGTACACTGGCACGTATTGTGGGGTCCGGATTTGATGGATCATCGCAACGGTGTTGCCTTTATCATCTGTGTAGATGATGACCGCGTACATGTATCGATGTCGAAGAAAGTAAGTATGCTCGATGACGTTGAAGTTGCCGTGCTTCATATGCGTTATGACGGTATAATTTCCTTCCCAAATGTTCGCAGTGAACAAATTCGGTTTGTCCCGTATCCGGATGATGAAAATACGCTGGTTCTTCTCCTTGTAAATGAACGTGCCGTCGATGGTGTCCACGCCGAACACTAAAAAGATCATGGCGTACCTTAAATATTTCTCTGTGCTGTCGTCACTGGGGTCCGCGAACGGCATGAGGCGTAGGCCCGTTTTGGTAATGACGACAGAATAACTTTTGCCGTGGTAAGCGTACAGCTCTGCCGTAGTGTTGAGAGTCATACTCGAGACGGTAAAATTTTTTTTCACGTAACCAGAAATATCTCTCATGTTAACAACGACCAATTTGTTTAACGGTTTGACGACGAAGGTTTTACTCTTTTCTGGCGAGAGTTTGACGCTTTCGTTCAATGTGTTGTAAAAGACGAGCTGTGCCGAATCTGGTTTAGGTCTGTACAGGTTCGTTTCCTCCAACGTGCGATGGACTTGCAAAGCGAGGAGGAGGCTGCACAGAGAAAACACCAACCCGATAGCGATCATCCTTATTTCACTATGTTGACTCGCGCCCATGTTTAACAACCATTCAAAGTTAATCTCACAAATAATGACACCCATGAACATGCAAATTTCCCAAATCACTTCGTATCTCACTATGTCTAAAACCCCCGGTAATGATATCGCACTACGCGTGAAACTCTTTTGTTGGATCTTCATTGTGAGTTGGCAAAGAAATGAATAGAGAAGGACGTAAAATAAGAGACGGAGGATCCCCTTCGGTTTCGACACGAATCTCGGAGTATCATCGTCCTTGTGATCACTAGTGACACGCTTCGCTCTTCGGTTATGCGTTAGTTTATGCTTGACATACTGTACTGAATTTTTCACCACATCCTCTACGATCCGGATTTTCGGGTTGTGCAAAGTGAATTTGTTTACGTTTAGTGTAAAAGTGATGGCGACAATCAAAAATAAGACGCACGCGAGGATGATCTTAGTGAGTGTCGGCTCTCTCAGGGCAAGGAAAATCGTCAAACCCCGAACGGATTCGACCAAGACGAACACGTACGGACGGAGCCTTCTAATCTCGGTCGGAAAGACAATCTGGTCCACGGCAAACGCGAGAATTACCCCTTTGATAGCATAGCACAGTGCTATTAGAATGTTGGCAAATACGAAAATGCTCATTTTTATCTTTCTATGAGATACGTACCCGGCTGTAATCAAGAGCGGAGGGATGGCAGCGCTTATGAAAAAGGACACCTTCAGAACTTTGTACTTGCCGCAGAAAGAGTCGGCAAACCACATCACCACCACCATCAAGACGACGACGAAGATTGGTTGGGAGTAGGTAATCGTGTTATTTACCGGAGGCAGTTCACCCACGTCCCGTAGCTTCTCGGCCGAAAAGTAGTCAGAGCTCAATTTATCCGCAACTGTGAAAAGGCAGTAATCGAATAAAAAATAATTCGCGCTGTACGGAAATATCCAGTCTTCGAGCGAATACGAAACCATAACAATATAAAATGTGTCTATCCAGTTGAACGTGTTTTAGTATACTCGCAAGCTGACAACAGGTGATCAAACAAATGACACTTTTATGCTTTTAATTTTACCAAATGTCCAATAAAAAATATATTTTTCACAATCACAAACTTGTTATTTAATTTTATTTAAACTAAAAAATATCGATACACATCTGCGTCCTCATTTTTCTATCAATAAAAATCGAAACGTACATAAATTTAAATAAAAATATAGTTTTTTACTCACGATTCAAAAATGCACTCGCATAAAGCACAACAATTCTATAAAATGCATCATGATTTAAAAACATTTTTTCTTAAGTACGTCATTATGAAAAACATGCTGAAAAACTTTTTTAATATAATATATATTCAGCTTGAAAATTTAATAAATTATGTCAATAAATTAATCTTTATGTAAGATATTGGTTGAGTTAAGTCAGTGTCACGAGCGGGATTCGAACCTACGACCCTCGGCTATATACGCCGCTGCTCTACCACTTCGATCCACAGGACACCAACTTCCCACCTCAACCCTACCTTTCGAATTGTCTCTCCTTTTTGCCATTTTTCAAATGTCGTGTAATCTATTCGATTCTAATCGGACCAGGAACTCGAATGAATTTAATAAATAAAATGAAGTATAATTCACGAAAGCTCTCCGTGGTCACTTCATTTGTCGCCGAGAATCGAATAGCTGACAGATTTGAAAAACGGCAAAAAGGAGGGAAAATTCAAAAAAGGTGGGTTGAGATGGGAAGTTGGTGTCCGAGTGGATCGAAGTCACGATAGCTCAAGGGGCAGAGCAGCGGCGTATTTAGCCGAAGGTCGTGGGTTCGAATCCCGCTCGTGACACTGACTTTTTTATCTCATCCAATACCTTACATAAATATTAACTAATTGAAAAAGTTATTCGGTCACTCGGATTAAGAACTCTACTGAATTTAATAAATTATTATGGCAACTAGCTCCAAAATATCTATTTTTCGATAAAATTGGTATTAAAAAAATTCTAAAAAATGGAACCTTTTTACATTCAGATTTATATGTATTAAAAAAAACTCAAATTACAGTCGATTCATAAAAACAAGCAATAAAGGTGAGGGAAACTATGTGTACTTATGCAACGCTCAATAGATTCTCAAAAGTCAAATGGGGAATGGGTCCTAAACCATTGTCAACAATTTCAAAAATCTCCTTACAGCAGCAAACGGGCCCGCATCTTGGTTTCTAACATTAAATTGTATGTGAAAAATATAACTGTACAATGCCAAAGACTAGCATTGTTGCATAAAATCTAACAGCAAAAAAGCAGCAACAAAGCCATTCCAGAAGAAACATGCCTTGATGTTGGTTAATGGCGAAGGTAACACTTTATCTGCCAAAAAGAGGGAAAATTCGAAAGGTTGTAGGTTTTAATGGGAGGTTGGTGCCCGAGTGGATCGAACTCACGATAGCTCAAGTAGTTCCAGCTGCGGCGTATTGAGCCGAAGGTCGTGGGTTCGGATCCCGCTCGTGACACTAGCTTTTTCATCTCAACCAAAACTTTAGATAAAAATTATACTTACTTTAAGAAATAACAATCTTGAAATGCATGTCATAGAATAGCTCAGAAACATTCTACGAAAGAATTGAAGGTCTTGAAAATAAAATTGCTGTACGATTGGCAAGGCCAATGGCAAAATTCTCAATACGTAGATAAACGCATATTTCCCAAATGAACCATAAAACAGAGCATGGTCTTCACATTGGTTTTTCCAGATTTCCGGATCACCCAGAAAGGTCATGTTGCTTTCCAGCATTACCTGGACTGGCCATACAGAGCCAAACCACCGCAAACCACGGGACGGAGGAAGCCCCAGGCATGGATAGAACGGTACTCCATGAGTCTCTCCAGACTTAACGTCGACACCTCCTCCGAGCGCGCTAGAAATACATCTATTTCAAAGGGTCGCACTCCTCCATCCAGCTCATGGCCCGCTGACACCCAAATATTCCGCGCAGTATGAATGATAATTAGATGTCTGCTATTGACGTTGAATTGTTTAAAATGGAGTGGAGGTTGTTGGGATTTAGTAGTGGGTTCTGACCTAGGTATTTAAAGACAATTAATTGTGATGGGGAAAATAGTGACATACAGCCTCTGGGTTCAAAGGTTCTTTCTAGGACAAAATGGCTGAACGATTCGAAGCCGAGTAAGAAAGTTTTCTTCTAAACGTCTAGAAGAAGATTCTTATTTTTCATGTTTTATTGGCGCTTGTTTAAAGTGCAGGCATCCCATTCGCTTATCCATGCATCCCAAGCTAGCTGACTAAAATGACGGCAGAAGTTTCTTAAAAAAACCCAATCCTGAGGATCAGCAGTTGAGACAGATTCTCGTTGTCATTCTGCCTTCCATTTTGTTCTCAATTATGCAATTGTGGCCAAGATTCCATTTAAATAATATACTGGCATTTTAGTTTGAATATTGTTTCAATTTTTAAGAATACCGTAGATTTCTGGTTTAAGGGAGATAAAGATTTATTTAAAACGGTTATGCCAACATAACGTAGAATAGATGTAACGCAAATGAAAAACTTTACATAGATAAGTTTAAAAAAAAAGATTTGTTAGAAACAATTTAATTTGTTTCATTGCACATTCATTCATTTGTTTACAGCTTTAACGTATAAAATGCCTTACTGGAAAACGAAAGTATTTCATTTACACTCAATTGTAAAAAAAGCTTTATCAATTAATTTCATGTGATATCAAGCCAAAAAAACATGACAAATTCGGTGAGAAACATTAACAGAACAAATAGGATTGCCTTGTTTTGCGTTATGTTATTTTTCATTTTTCCTGAGGCTTAAAGAGTCCAGGTACAACAAGGAATAATTTAAAAAGTTCTTACAATTACATTTCATTGAATATCATGACATATTCTATGGTCCTGTAAGGAAATGAGTGAAGTGGAGTTTAAAGAAATAAAATATGGCGACAAGTTTTTTAAAATTTCCCCTGGTGCAATCTTCCAGCATCAGATCTCAAAATTCTTATAAAAACATCACGCACGTTCCAACTTGTACAGAGAATAATCGTCGTCCCTGTTGAAATATATATTTCACGATTTTTCCTTTTAATGTTAAACAGGATGCTGCAGAAGGCGATGGATACCAACTACATAAACATGAACTGCGTCGATCCCCTGGGCAGATCGGCGCTACTCATGGCCATAGACAACGAGAACCCCGAAATGGTCGAGTTGCTCATCGAGCACAGGGTCGAGACCAAGGACGCCCTCCTTCACGCCATATCGGAAGAGTTTGTCGAGGCGGTCGAAGCACTCCTGGAACACGAGGAAGCCAAAAAGAAGCCAGGTCAACCAGCTGTAAGTACCTACTTTTTAAGATTTGCAATCCTAAGTTTCAAGTCTTTACACACCTCCTTTGCACATTAGCATATCCTTGAATAGTTTGAGGAAAAACACGCTGATCATCAATTAACAGGTTCAAAAATCAAATACTCAGCGTAATCATTATGGACAATGGGGGTTCGAATCCCGCTCGTGACACTGACTTTTTTATCTCAACTAAAACCCTTAATTCATAGAAAGATTAATATTATTTTATTTTAAATAAAAATTAATGAATTTTTGATCTCGGTTAATTTGGTAAGTTAAAATAAGTATGTTGTAATTAATATAACGAAAATAATAATATAGTTTGAAATAAAAATATGAGTGACCGGTTCTTTTGTCTTCGGCTGTACTCGATGCTATCCGACGAAAATCTGGTCAGTGGGGATCGTATAGCGTGGCATCGGGCAGATGTGCACGGGGGGGAATACAATCTTATGGAAAAATGGACTTTGGATTTGCGTCGGGTAGCGTGGCACAGCGTTGCATCGGGTAATTGTGTTCCCCACTTTAGTCTCCTGATAATTGTTTGTAGTTTTCAAACAGAAGTGTATATTGCTATGACTAGCTGCAAATACAGTTTGGCCGTAGAACCTACAATATTTTATTATGTATATTAACTATTTATCCTAGATAATAATGATTCATCGAATAATATATAATAACCTAAAATACATGCGTAACGAAGGCAGAAACTTGTATTTTAGTATTTGTAAGTAAATTGCTTTTTTTTCTCTCGGCTCCTAGGGCCATTGGCAACAATGCTTGGAGCTCGGACACGTGTTTAATATGTTTTGCCCTACGTAGTGTAACCAAAAAAGTTAAATTGAAGTAGGTCATCCCTCGTCATCGTAGCCTCCCCATGTTAGTGACCTAGTCTTATATTAGACCAAAAGAAAAGGGTTAGGTGTGCAAACTTAGCCACCTTAGCTTTTCTTTTGATCGTTCTTCAGTAAGTCATACAAAACAGGAAAATGCATGTTGCCTGCCGGGGAACAGGTGCTTAAGGTTGGGTGGGCGAGTGATTCTTTTTTTGCGGAGTGCGCCTTGAAAACCCTTAGAAATTAACATCATCATCTTTGGTGTATACCTGCAAGACTCAGAATATTTGTTATTAGTTTTTCTATAAATTTCACTCCAAAGATAGTTTTATATAGCCAGCTGTTTTTTCACGAAGTCAGTTATTTGTCGAACACAGTGGAACTGTCCTACTCGCACCAGTAATACACCACTTCGATATGAATGGAACATATTTGATTCTGAAAATTGCTTTAGATAATACAACGAATATTCGCAATGTTTACGAATGCATCACCAAAATTATGTATCTAATCTACATAGAACAACAATTTTTGCACGCTCGCCTACTTTTATGCTTATACCAGGTCTTGATACTTATAAAGTTCTTCTTTTATCTCCTTTCCTCCCCTTATTTTCCGAAGATCAATAGGTCCCCTTCTTCCTTTTTAATGTTATTCACGGCGCTCATCAATGTAGGATAAATGTCGCTAAATAACGACATACTTCCAATTTTTTTTTTCAAAAACACGGGGCGAGAGTTCATATAACCTCCTACTTGAATACGTTTGTAATTTATTTTTAATTGTGCACGTTGTATTTATAATGGGATATTTTTTTTGTTTAATAAACGGCGAGTATCACGATAATTATTGACATGCGTGGGTAGCGTAAGAACCATAGTTAATAACCAAAACAAACGACGTGTGTAAACAAGAAAAAAAAAAACCTAAAAAAATATTAGGGGTATTCACGATCTTTGTGTTAATCATGTTAACTCTGTTAGATCCAATTAGATCGAGAAAAATGATGACGTAGACTTGTAAGAATCGCTTAGTTAACATTGCTCGATTTAACAGGCCAGAGCCATTGTTAGATGTTAAGTAGTAACTGTAGTCACATTGCTATCCGTTAGGGCATAGGTAACCAACATGGCAGCCATGAATTTAACAGCTGTTTTTTGGTTACATATATTTTTATTCTTAAAGATGCATTAATTAAATCAGTCCAATACATTTCTTTTGTTAATTTCTGACCTTTCTTATACTCTCATTCATAATTGATACATCCCGTATCCTATAAAGTTGTTTGCTGTAGTCTTATATATTCATNCATAAGTGTTCTACAACACACATTGATGGCCCCGATTTCCGCCTGAAAAACGGAGGTGTTATTGCCAAGAGGGGAGGAGATGCTGATTCCTAATTTTAGTATGTAGATTCCTGCACCACTCCCTGTACCTTTGATAAGTGAACCATCTGTGTAGCAGTCTATGTTACGATGTCATCATCCAGACTATAATCATAATCACAAGGGGTGACTACCTGAAAGTGCTTTTTCCCCGAAGGGGTTTTAATCTTTTTATAGCTAACGCTTAATAATTGACCGGTAACCTTACTGTTAGACGTTAGTATACAAGGTAGGTATGTCGGCACGAATTGAAGCGTGTCATTTGTTAGTACTTTGCGTGTGCATAGATAATATTTTGAATGAAAGAGTTGATTAATTTTCCTTTCTGGAATCTTACAATTTAACACAAAAGTAAACCAAAATAAACAACAAGCCTTCAAGGGGGCATCGGTGGCCGATCAGTTTAGGTCACTGTAAGATAAAGGTCCCGGGTTCGAATCCAGCGGCCCTACACTCGAACCCGATAAACTTACAAATGGGCTTTTTTCAAAAACACCGGCACCCCGAGGGTTGATATAACCTCTGCCTTCAAGGACTGTTATAGCTTTATTTTTGGTTCTACCAGTTGCCACGCGCAGCATTGCGGAAGAATTAACGTTTAGCATGGTAAGAAAGAAGGGGGCATTCACGATCTTACTGGACATTTCTCTATTCAAGTTAACAATATCTTACAAACATCGTGAATACCCCTATTATCTATACAATACACTATTCACTCACGGTCGAGTCATTTTGGTTAACCAGTCCAAAACACATTAAAACATGGGGAAGTTCGAGTAACGGATGGAGACGAAAATGAAAGTGATATAGAGACAGAAAGTTGATCTCGTTCAAAGTAGGCGGGAAAATGCTTGGTGAAAGTATCAAGGCGAACGAAACGGCCGCCGACTTCGTCCTTGCATAAATCTGGCCAAGGGGCGACAATCGATCTGGGGACATGCCGTCGGCTTGATCCCGGCCCAGGGCAAATATTCAGACTAAACCGCAAATATTGAGTCGGCCGGTTTCGTATTAAAACCGATTTATGCCTCGGAAGTGTGATTGTCCGGTTTCTTGAAAACGCCGATTCGTATTTTCACTAACAAGCCTTTCCAAATGACAAAAAGTTTGTTCCCTTTTTCTAAATAATATTTATATGGGAGGAAACAGCACGATAGGGTCAACAAATGCAAGATGACAAACCGATTGTTGGCTAAATGTTGAAATATAAAGTACGTTTCTAGTCGTTTCATTCATTCATCGACTAGTTCAAGTGTGCTTTTTACTTTCTTATTCAATTGGCTAAGTAGAATTGGAATTCAAGTTCCCAATGACCCAATGACTAACTTTTGTACCGTTTCTTTCATTTTTCTCTTTCATTTCTTTTTTAGGTACTCCTCTGTTGCTAAAAATTATTTTTATAACATTACATTGTGAATTTACGAGGCCTATATGGTGGTGAACCATTTGTTTTTTGTTTTTTAATCATTTTAGTCTGTCGCACGAGTTTTGGATTTGACGCCATCTTCTTTGGGAAAGCGGTGTGTTATTTAATTAATGCGTGTCCATTTTATTATACCGATTTTAAATGATGATACTATATATGTATTTAAATTAATTTATAACAGTAATTTGTTCTCATCGACTAGTTAGGTTCATAGTGCCTTTCTTCCAAAAATCACTGCTTTTAAGGCTGAAGAAGACCAGAAGGTCTTGTTTGATGTCTTCGCCTTTCGCATAGGATTTCGGACCTCTTTCGTTAATTTGCCTCAGCCCCACTCGACTGCTAATTCTAAGAGCATCTCTCTCCGGTCTCATAAGGAAATGCTCTTTTAAAGGAAATCATAAATACTGAAACATTTTATTTTAGGTAATTCATGTACTAGTAATTAAGAGTATAAATTGGTAATAAAGGAAATCACATTTCAGACCCAGGGGGCCAAAATTTAACTATTTCACTAAGGATGTCTTCGAAAACAAACACATTTCTTGCCGCACATGATTGTCGCCACATAAATTCGCATTGATAGGAGTACAAAAAACTTCGGTGGGTACCCCACTGTCATTTGTTCCTCGCCTTTGCTTTTCCCCATACACTTTCAAAGGACTGCTTATGTGCTCGGGTGGTCAGGTCGACAAAATTGACAGTGGTTCACTGTCATATGGCGAAACTAAGATCCTGGGATAATGTTTCATATGCCTTCCACTGATCGGAGATGATGACAGATCCGACAGCGATCCGATCACGAATTATGGGGATGAGGGTGGCGGCTGATCTGTCCGTAATGGTGACTAGAAAACTTTCTCTCGTTTCGCGGCAAATGCCACCAAAAACCCACTGATGGGATAAGATTCTGCCGGTGTTGTTTTTACGGCACGAAAACAGCGATTCATCAATTTGCACAGTGCAATTGGGGAACCAATGCGCGAATGTCTGCGCAAAGTAGAGTTCGCACAGGCTTTGTGTATATAGTTGCACTAATCAACGAACGTGTTATGATTTACACTTAACTCTCATTCACAAAATTTAATGCTTACCATTTCGTATGCCCAAGCGTATATGAACAGTACGATGGTCGAATATGGCAGTCTTGAGCCAGTTAGATATATGTTACTTCTAAACGCTATTTCCGCCTTGAATCTACGTTTACAGCACCTCCACTTGTCACAAGATCCTGTCAAATGCAGCCTCGCGTCGTGTCCTGCACATCGCACAGTTAGTGGAAGAACGCCCTTTTCCTGAAGGAAACGAACTGCCGTTTCCATGGTTTTGACAGCATTGTATA